ATGGTTTTCTTTTTTCCTCTACTTATGTTATCTCATGACTTTAAGCTTGTATTATTGAATAATTGAAGTTAACTTTATAAACATATGTTCACACAGTGTTTTACACATGAAAAAAAAACGTTAATTTATGTATTCAAATCTACATTAATTATATATTTATATCTTACGAAAAAAAGTCTATGATATACGCTCAAATGAAAATAATACAAATATTTTATAAACTTTGTTTCATGTCTTCTTTAGAAAATGTCTCATTATTTTTCAGTATAACCAAAAATTCCAAATTTGCCTGATATCTCAGAGAAAAATTTCATTTCGTCTGAAGTTTCGATAAAAGAGTGAACACTGTTTTCTTTGATGTATTGATGCAAAACTAAACACATATCTTACTTAATGTTTAAATGAAATATTTTTCATTTCAGTATAACAGTAAACTATTTAGTGCATTCCAGTAAATATATAAAAAATCTAAAAGAACAACATATTTCGCTCTTACTTGACATCCCGTTTCTACGTTCGCATAGTAGCCAGGGACTTTGTAATCTCGACATCGGAAGTTGGTGGAGGGGATTTGCATATGTTTAGAGAGACTAGCGGTAGGTGGCCTATATCTTCTCTGTCCTCCATCTTGAAATACAAGTCCTGATACACCTCTCTGAGAATTATGACCATTCACCGGGCCGTGGAAAGCTTCAGTTGGACGTGCATCAACCGTGTGTTCACCTGGCACTACCAATGATAAAATTTCTTTTAAGACCTCTTGAGAAATTGGAAGAGAATGACCACCAAGGTTTCGTACTGCAAGTTCAGATCTAGGTGAATACAAGTTTATAGATTCTCCAGTCTTTATGTTCGGGGTTGAGCCAACATTTAACGAAGGAATTTCAATTACTAATGGTTGTATGTATTGGTCAGAAAATGGAGGGGGTTCTGGTGAATCATTTAACGTGGAGTACTTTGATGGTATTGTTAGAGTTATTTCAGGATAAGGAAGCTTTTCCGAAGATGCTAGAGGTGAAATGTCGAAGGTTTGAACATATTTTGTTGTTCGTCCTTCATTTCTTTGTTCCTTATGGGGAATATTTCGTAGAAAACCTTCCACAACTTTTCCCAATGAAACCACATTTGTTGATACTTTCTTAGGAATTTGAACTCCTTCTGACAGAGAGCCATCAAAAACAAGTATTGGGATATTATTAGAAGATTTTAATCCTCGCTGATGACTCCGGTAGGCATTTCCATAAGTAAACGCAGGTCGCTGGTTTGCTTTCAACCATTGATTTTCTTCCTGACTCCAGGTTTCTTCGTTAGAATTTTGCTGTGGGAATTCAACATTTATAGCAGAACTAAGGAATGTTATGATATTTTGATTAAAATACACCTTATTATTAACAGCTTCTCATTAAATATAATCTAACTATATATATCGGAACTAAAAGCCCCCCAATGGCACAGCGGTATGTCTGCGGACTTACAACGCTAGAATCTGGGTTTCGAAACCTCTGGTGGGCAGAGCACATATAGCCAATTGTGTAGCTTTGTGCTTAATTACAAACAAACGGAACTAAAAAAGTAATCCATAAATTAGTGAAATCAGTTATATATGGCAAGTTGAACTGTTATAAACACAATGTAATTCATATACTCACCAGCATAAATTCAAAGCATATGACATGAAACAAAAAAGTAATTAATCAAATTTCAAAATAAAAGCAATAAATAATGGCAAATACTAGATCATCTTTTTTCACATCGAGTGATTACCCAATTTTGATTAGTGGATTTTTAACGAAAATTATTGTAAGTTGCATCTTTTTAGGTTCATTAAACTGCTTACAGTTTTAAGGTGACGTTACAAATACACAGCATGGTCACAAATAAATAGACACCACCTTTTCAGAAAAAATGAAATTTTTCAGTCATATTCACTTGAATTGATATATTTATAATTGAATTAATATCTAGTAGATCTTCCTTTCGCTTCGTGGATTTCGTTGATCCTTTGGGGCATCGTGAGAATCATCTCGTCAATTTTAGATTGTGAGATTTTCGCCCACTCTTGCTTCAAAACTTGGAGTAGATCGCTCTTCGAAGTTGGTTTTTTTGGTTGTTTCTTGACTTGCCGGTCGAGTATGGCCCAGTGGTTTTCGATGGGGCTCATGTCAGGAGATTGGCTCGGCCAGGGCAACTTCTGGATACCATTTTCTTCCTGCCACTTTTAGGTGTTTCTAGCAGTGTGACACGGTGTTCCATCTTCCTGGAACAACGTTGTGTTATTGTCCACGAAACCCAAGGAATAAAGTGGCAAGAGTCCTTCCTCCAATATTTCGACGTATTGCGAAAATTTATGTTGCCAACGCACTCCACTAAGCTCGATCTCCCACCAACCCAAACAGCTCCCCAAACCATCACGCTGAAACCATCATGCTTCACAGTTGGCTGCAATCTGTTGAGCCAAAACTCTTGGTGAGGCATTCTTCCGACCCATATCCTCCCACTGTCCGAAAATTGAACGAATCTTCATTCGTCTGAGAACAATACGGTCTTCCAAAAGTCCAGAGACTTGGTCACCATATCACTTGCTCACTTCTTTCATCTGACTATGTTGGCAGGTCTTAATTAGAGC